GCTGGGATCTGAGCGGTATTCTCACGAACGGTGTGCTCAGACCCCAGCTATCTACCGAACGTCCATTCGTGTAAATCTGTCAAGTATTCAAAAAGTTATGTATTTTAATATAAATTGCCGGTTCTGCTGCACGGAGGGATAATCCACTTGACGGTATATTCCAGTGGGAGTATCCCTCTTGTGCAGCAGTGCCTGATGGGAGAAATGCCCAGAATGTGAAGTCCCCCATGTAGTCCCCTATTGTGTTACCCCTGCTAAGGCAGTATGGAAACCCCTTGCACGGGGACTTGCATAAATACTGGAGCTGCAAATAAAGACCTCAGTTGACTCCCAGAACTGTGTTTCGTCCGGTTACTGGGGGATATGGGATATTGCCTTGCTTTTCAGCGCTGACTGTGGATTGCTGTATGTACCAGCGGAATTCGTGGGATTTAATATTGCCGGTCCGCTACACCCCCTCTCCAATTTCCTTCTTCTCCCCCCTCTCCAATTTATTTCTTCTCCCCCCTCTCCAATTTCCTTCTTCCCCCCCTCTCCAATTTCCTTCTTCTCCCCCTCTCCAATTTCCTTCTTCTCCCCCTCTCTCATTTCCTTCTTCTTCTCATATTTCCTAACACACACTCACACACACACACTTTTTTAAAAAAAATTTCATCCCCCCCAGCCTCCCTACCTGTGGGAGTGCTGAGGGGATTCCCTGGGGTCCAGTGGTGTCACCCGGCGGCATGCCCTGATGGCGGCCCTGGCCTCTATGCTTTAATGAAAAATTGTTGTTTTTTTTTATGTGAAAATGGTTCCATGTGAAAGCGTGATTGTTCAGAAATATCCATCCCTTGTAAATAAAGGCTTTGTAGAAGAAAACTTTTATTTCATTTATTTCTTTAAGTATTGCTCATTTAATTTGTACATAGTCTTGGGAGCTACAATTATCCTTATGATCAGAGATCAGTGTGCCACAAAGACTCTGAAGTTGTAAAAATTCTCGGTGAACTCAAATCCAGAACTTTGACTAATACTGGAGCAACAGGGCACCCTTTTCATTAAGGTGAGGAGCAGAGAACCAATCTCTGGATATCATCAATTAAAGGTTATTTACCTATTTTAATTTAATATTATGGAAAACAAAAGAATGATTACATTGCACAGATTTACAATTGAAAGCTGGTGATTTTTTACAAATCTGTACAAATAGAAATTGTACCGAAGTTTATGCTGAATTGCACAATTTAGGCAACAATAGATGAAGGACTCCTTAAGTCAGCAATAGTAACACTTTGAGCTTTTGCTTAATGAGACACTATAGGCCACTTCATCACCTAGACCACTTCATCTCATTTAAGCTGTCTGAGTGCAGTGTTCCTATCAACCTTAGTCCTTCAATGAAAAACATTGCAATTTTAGAGTAACTGCAATATTTACATTGCAGTACTAAGACTGCCTGTAGTTGCCATCTTATCTACCAGATAGACTTTCTGGAGTTTCAGGGAGTTTGACTCTGTGAAACGAAGCTGGACATCCTCACGTTCTGCTTGAGGACGTCCAGAATTATAGAAAACTCTAGAAAAGCATTGAGGAAATGCTTTCATATAGGAAAAGCCTAATGCACTCTCTGCACTTGCCAACTGGATGATGTTGGAGGAGGAGGACCGTGACTCAGCTCCAAGGGACCTGGAATTGGGCAAATGAATAAATGGCTATCTAACACTCGGAGGGGGCAGAGAAACATGTTAGTGTTAGGCATACATTAGACATGTGCAATTCGTTTCAGTACGAATGTGAATTCGGACGAATTTCGGGCAGTTCAGACATTCGGGTACTTCCGATTGTCCAAATAGCCGAATTGCCGAAGTGACGAATTTCAGAAGTGCTGAAGTGACGAAATTCCGAAGCACAGTATTGCCTAAGAACTAATGTACTTACCCAGTGGAAGAATGAAGAATGAAGAATGTTACCCTGTATACAATTTTAAATAAAAATTATACAGACATAGCCAGGATTCAGCTGTAAGCATTTGCAACACTAACAACAATCAAGTAACACACATTCATATAAAATGTAAGTTACTTAGCTTGTCAATGGAATGACAGGAATGAATAAGTAGATAACTCCCTAATTCCCATGGTATTAGAGAGCTATCTACTAAAAGGCTGAAAGATCTGAATTGGTCTTTCAGCCAAATTTACCATTACTAAGTAAAGATTACTTAGTATTAGTAAACTATGCCCCTACTCGCTATGCCGCGAGTAGGGGCATGTCTAGTAAACAGTGAGCACTATGGCTGCTCATTGTAAAAAAAACTAAAAAACGTCCCCCCCTCCCGAGCCCCCACCCTTTATAAGCCTTGCCCCGCCCTGCAGAGCTCAGTCTGAGCGGAGCCCTCCATGGGTGAAGAAGGATTATTTATTTTTATTTTAAGTGCGTCGGTTATTATGGATTTTTATTTGGCCTTGTTTGGGGCTGAAAAAATAAGATTTTAGAAGAAAGAAAACATCAAATGATAAGTTTTATTTTATTTTTTTTTACAGGTACTTAGTTAATGGTCCCCCCATCATTATTTTTCGGGTGAGGGGGGTACGTAGGGGCTAGATTGTTTTGGGAAGGGGGTGACTAGGGGTTTGGGGACCCCTAGTCACCTGGGGGGGTTACATTTTTATTAAGGGCCCCCACCCGCCGCTCAGGGGAGGGAGCCAGGGAGGAGGACAATAGGTCCCCCCCCCTTATTGGTATTTAGGGCCCCCACCCACCTCTCAGGGGTGGGGGCCAGGGGGGAGGAAATTAGCCCTCCCCTCTTTTCTAATTTAGGGCCCCCACCCACCGCTCAGGGGTTGGGGCCAGTGGGGAGGACAATAGGTCCCCCCCATTATTTTATTTTACGGCCCGCACCCACCGCTCAGGGGTGGGGGCGGGGGGGAGGACAATAGGTCCCCCCATTATTTTACTTTAGGGCCCCCACTCACCGCTCAGGGGTGGGGCCCGGGGGGCAATAGGTCCCCCCTTTAGTTTAAAAGCCCCGAATTGCGCATCGCGGATGGGTGCTCGGGAGGGGGGACCTTTTCTTTTCTTTTTTTCACTGGCTGCTCACTGTTTAATAAACATGCTCCTACTCGAGGTATAGCGAGTAGGGGCAAAATGTACTAATACTAAGTAATTTTTACTTAGTATTAGTAAATTTGGTTGAAAGACCAATTTAGGTCTTTCAGCCTTTTGGTAGATAACTCCCTAAATTAGGGAGTTATCTACTAAGCGGCTGCAAGAGAAGTCCCGAAATGCAGAAGTTCCGAAGTGTTGAAGTGCCGAAGTCTCGAATTGCCGAAGTCCGAATTTCGGAATGCTGAACTGAACCGAAAATTTTCCCCATGCACATCCCTAGAATACATCATTGTATTCCTAAAACTAAAGCATTTCTTTAACTGTGTGACTTAGTTTTCTACACCAGCAAAAATCTGTGTAGTGAATAAATCCTTCAATATTCTTTATATTACCTGCATGACGGCTTATACTATCGCTTGAATTTTTTTACTTTTTTAAAATAAGGGACACTATATCAAGTAATAAACTTTTTGACTAAATTAAGGGCTTTGCTTATTGTGATTAACTGTAGAACAGATTTTAAGTTGTAAAGTTTAAATAAACAAATAATTATTAATTTATTATTTTATTTTAAATAAAAAATAATTATTAATTTATTATTTATTTATTATTTTAAATAATAAATAATTCATTATACTTTATATTACCTACATGACGGCTGATACTATCTCTCAAATGTGTGATTAACTGTAGAAGAACAGATTTTAAGCTGTTTATTCTCCATTTGTGTGCCTGTTTAAATGTTGGTGTGGCACAATGATATTATCATTTACTTCCTGCGGTTAACTCTTTCACTTTGTTTTGGAATAGCTGACATTTTCCAATCCTTTCCATCAGAAAAGGCCAAAACTTAGAAGCTTAAAAAATTCTTCACCAAAAAACAAGGTAATTGTATGTTTAACAAGCCTCGCATTAAAGCACAAACTACCCGTTGGTTGTAATAGGCAGCAATCAGGCAGAATTTATAATTATTTGGTTACTGACCTTTGTACTCCAGTACTAACCCCCCAGTGTGATAGAAGACTTGAAACTTGTCAAGCAGTGTGAATGCTCTCAGTAGAGATGTCGCGAACTGTCCGCGAACTTCTCGCGAACGGTGGCGAACTCTGGTCAGCTGACACGTCCCTGCCAATCTCCAGCAGACCCTCCCTCCCAGACCCTCCTACTTCCTGGACAGCATCCATGTTGAAGGCAGCTTCAACATGGATGCTGTCCAGGAAGTAGGAGGGTCTGCTAGAGATTGGCCGGGATGTGTCAGCTGACCGGAGTTCGCCGCGAACATGGACCGGAGTTCGCCTTCAACATGGATGCTGTCAAGGAAGTAGGAGGGTCTGGGAGGGAGGGTCTGCTGGAGATTGGCCGGGACGTGTAAGCTGACCCGAGTTCGCCGCGAACAGCTCGTGGCAAACCGTTCGCGAGAAGTTCGTGGACGGTTCGCGACATCTCTAGCTCTCAGTAACCAGTGTGTGATATCACATTTCATTTTCTTGCAGGTAGATAGACTGTGGATGTGCATCCATTATAATAACCATAGTTCAGGATGTACAACGTTTAACATCTACAGCACATACGATTAAATTACTTATACCTATCTGAAGCTCATCACTTTCACTGGATGCCAGTCTCCTACACACTAAATACATTGGCATTATTGGTTATTATAATATTAAACACCATGACTAACAAGTAATACATTCAAACAAAGTTCAAGGCTTGAAGATTGTGTTCCTTGATTTTATCTTTTCTTTTACTTTAGAGTTTTCGGATAACGATGAAAGTAATCAATCCATTATTGATCTCTGTGTATCCTATACAATACTCATTTTATGTTCTGTGCTACCTTTATAGAAGAGACAATTCAACCAACTCCAGAGGAGGAAGCAGCTATTGATGGTCATTCACTGCCAGTAATGGACACTGAGAATGTGGAGCCATCACCGCCAGCTGTCAATACTGATACAGAAAAGACAATCCAACCAGCTCCAGAAAAGGATGTAGTTAATGACACTCCTCCATTGCCAGCAGTGGACACTGAAAGCGTGGAGCCATCAACGCCAGCTGTCAATACCATTACTGAAGAAACCATCCAACCACCTCTAGAGAAAGCTATAACTATTGACAGTGCTCCACTGCCAGGTGTCGTAACCTTGATGGAAAAGACAAACCAACCTGCTCCAGAAGAGGATGTAGTTAATGACACTCTTCCTTTGCCACTAGCGAGAGCATGTAACCATAAACGCCAGATGTTGATACTCCACCATCCAACCAGCTCCGTAAGAGGATGTAGTTACTGACACACATCCATTGCCAGTATCAAACACTAACAAAGTGGAACCACCACCACCAGCTGGTGCTACTGATATTGAAGCAACCATCCAACCACCAGACAAAAGCTGTTATAGAGGTCGCTACCATCATAGAACATTGAACCAGCTCCAAAGTAGCAGAAGCAGATGTGGAAGAGCCATCATCGTCATCCAGGTATTCACATATTCATCTACTCATCAATGCTGTACACGTATACTGTGTTTTATAGGAGCATTTTGTTTTGGGTTTTTGTTTTTTTTTCATAGGGGAGGGCATGAATTTAAAATATATTTAAAAATGTGGTCTTTTCTTTGCAGTATTAAGCAAGGAGCTTGGCTAAAGATCCAGGAAATTGGAACAACCCTTCAATCTCCCTAACAGAGAGATTTTTCTAGGAGTAAGGGGCTATCGTAATAAACAAACATCTATATATGGGGGTTCAGAGAGAGAGTGAACAAGTTAGAAATATTATTGGGAAAATGGTTGCCCTTTGCAAAGATCTGATTAGATCATTTAGTCATCCAGCTCTTAATAAAGGTTTAAACAGATGGGAACAAGATCTAAATATTATAATAGAAAGAGAAGAATGGGTGTCTTCATTAAATATTAATAAAATAATCCATTGCTTGACTATAACAGAAACTAACTTTAAGATTATTAATAGATGGTGTAGGGTACCTAATGTTTTATCCAGACTCTACCCTGGTTGTTCAGACCTGTGTTGGAGATGTGGTGTGATTATTATTATTATTATTGTTTTATTATTTAAATAGTGCTAGCAAAATTCCATAGCGCTGTACAGTGTGATGAGAGGAGATCTCATTATATGGGGTTGTGTCCTTCTTTGGAATTGTTTTTTTGGGAAAATGATAGATGGAAAGATAAGTCAACTGTGCGAAATAGATATTATTTTAAGCCTGGAGACATTTCTGCTACACTTAAGACTACCGTATATACTCGTGTATAAGTCGATCTCATGTATAAGTCGAGTGCAGTTTTGTGACCAACAATTGTGAAATATGCTATGCCTCGTGGATAAGTCGAGGGTTAAACTTGGGGCTATGAAATTCTGTGATTTTTATAATTATATACACACACACTCATACAAACACACACTTTGCATTATATACACACACACATACATACAAAACACACTCTGCATTATATACACACACACTCATACAAACACACACTCTGCATTATATACACACACTCTGTGTATATAATGCAGAGTGTGTATATAATGCAGAGTGTGTGTTTGTGTAGTGTGTGTGTGAACTGGGTGGGGGGAGGGCATTTTTATTATTTTAATTTTTTTTAATTTTAATATTTTTTTTTATTATTTAATTATTTTTTTTGTCCCCCCTCCCTGCTTGTTAACTGGTCAGGGAGGGGGGGCTATCTTAATCCCTGGTGGTCCAGTGGCATGGGCTGTGAAGTGGGGGGCCGGCAGGAAGCATTTACTTACCTTTCCTGCAGCTCCTGTCAGCTCCCTTCTCCTCCGTTCCGGTCAGCTCCACTGTAAGTCTCGCGGTCTGGTTGCCGCGCGGATCGTTGCCATGGCTCTGACGGCCGCAGCTCTCTAAGTTGCCATAATACAGACAGTGACTCGAGTATAAGTCGAGTGGGGGTTTTTAAGCACAAAAAATGTGCTGAAAAACTAGACTTATACTCGAGTATATACTGTAAGTAAATTGCTCAAGCCTAAACGTGATTTAATTATCCATATTTTTATGGCTGTGGAAGTTCTGATAGCCAAAAATGGAAGTCACCGCTAACTTCACATTGGAAAAAAAAAATTACAGGCCAACTTATATATTAAATACAAATGGAGAAATGTATTATTGGACAACACTAGATGCCACTGAGTACTGGACTCCTATTTACACACATTGAATGCCTGAGCAAATAGTGTTTTGGATATCTTACCAAGTAAGGTACAATAATTCTTAGTTGATAGGCTAAGAGAGGGTTTACCTCTTGTGGCAACATCCCTCTCCACCAAATCGGTAGCAGTATCTTTTGTGTGTTTTTTATTTCTCTTTTCTCTAAGTATGTGTATTGTATGTTTATAGTTATCTTGTTTTGACCACGTGCAAAACTACCTGAGATCTTGATAATTGTACTTATATTTGTTAAATTAATAAATGAAAAGACAGAAAATAAATAAATAAAAAAGGTGTCACGAGAAATCACAAATAAAATGTGCTGAAAAATGTATACATCTATTCTGCTCTGATTTGTCTGCTTCGACGCAACTCTTCTCATGTATACTGTCTTACCTTTGTCTCCACCAAGCACAACAAAAATAAAGAATTTAAAAAAAGAAAAATAAATCACATCCGCATCTTACTGCCCTGCTCTAGGTATAAAAATGCACCTTTTCTAACTGTATTTTTTCTATTAGTAGCACTTCCCAGGTGCGAAAGCACAGTTGAAGCATAACATAGTCCACATTGAGCCCTACTATCCGTGGATCCTGTCTGCAGAAGCATTATCAATATTAAGAAGTGTAAGTTTATTACGTTCTAATTTGGATACATTGAGTAAACTGGTTCTTAGACGCACCAGGATTAATGCTCTAGCTTCTGAGAAGTACTGCTCTTACGGCTTATCATGCTGTAATGATCCAATTGTGTGTGAATGTGGGCTTGGGCAGTTTGTCTGGTAAGGCTCTGGAAACGCAGCTGTTCCTGTGTAAAAACTGTGAGTAGAACAAGCAGTCAAAAACATGTGGATTTAGGAAAAGAATCAAACAAATTAAAATCACATGTGGAGACTGAAATAAACTGCAAGCAGTAAGCATGACTCATGCCATCGATCAGGGCAGAGCAATATCCGGGCACCAGAGCATGTTGACATGGTGCCTACTGTTTATTGAGGCCCTGTATTAACGTATACAGCCTGAGCTGATGAAGGCAGATTTTACAGAACCTTCAAGAAAAAGCCTTTAATTCTCAGTTTTTCAGTTAAAATGACTTTTTCCATTTTCCTTTTAACTTTTTCTTATACAGCCTTTGAATAAAAATCCTGAAGCCTGTCTAGGATCCAGCGTGAATGATGCCAATGATCTGAAGGACCACCCTTTCTTTGAAGCATGTCAGATTTAAAGACTCATTCTAGTAGCTTAATAAAGATTAGGTTTTAGTTGAGCTTTTTAAACAAATACACAATGTCCCAGGAATGTCAGAAATCCATTTGTACCATCCATTGAGGAACCGGAGGTCGTCAGCAACTTTAACAGAACGTATACAACAAGCGCCTTCATTCTCACTCCACCATCTGAGGAAGAGCTGGAGCCATTCAAAGATTTCAAATAGGTTTCCGATTGGATTTAAATCTGGAGACAGGCAAGGATGGGCTCCGCTAGAGTGGACATATTAACATCTGTCATTTTTTTTAAAGAAAAATTCCAATAAAAGGCATTATTTTTATTATTTTGCGTTCCAATAAAAGTATTATTGATATTTTCAGTTGATTCTGTATATAAGTGTGATTATGTGCATAATAGATGGTGGAAAGATCAATTGGTTTATAGAAATAAAGAGAGATAGAGAAAACAATTAAAAAAATAAAAATCAACAGATGTTAAAAGGGAACGTACCTCTCTGGAAACGGTATTTGTAGGAGTCTCATACATTGTGAACATTTGTCAGAAAGTGTATCAAGGTCACTATACATTGATCATCCATAAGATTAAAATCACTGAGAGGTGAAGTGAATAGCATTCAGTAAAGAGCACCTGTCAAGGAGTAGGATGTATTAGGCGGTATTTTAAAATTGTGATGTTCGTAACCGTCTTTGTAAGTCTGTGGTTCTCTGTATTGTTAGATAATAGAACTTTAAGTTGCAAATATGAGAATGTGTTTGAGGATAGGTGAAATTTTTTTTTGTAAATCTGAGAATGTAAGCATGCTCCCTCAGGTGGATATTTCTTGGGGGGCGTGAAGGGGGGTGGGGGTTACCACACGCACCCTTTCCCCACTCTGTATGGTTGACAGTCTGGTTTTTCATGTGGATTGACTAAAGTGCTGTGGCAAATGGCCATGTGATGTAGGTAGCACAGAGGTTGGAATTTGTCTATCTGCCTCGGGAATCCAAATAAGGGAATGGCTAATATATCATTATGGACTGGTATTGCAGCTGCTGTGAAAATGCATTGTTGTGGCTAGGACTGTATGTACAGAAACAAAAGTGATTAACAATATAACTCCTGGATAGCAGAGAATTGAGCAGTGAGCCTGTGGGGGCATGACCTATAAACCCAAACTGCTTCATTAAGCTAAAGTTGCTATTATTCCTATAGTGTCCCTTTAAGGCTTCTCTGGTCTTAAATTTGAAATTCACGTTGAATTTTCACTTCAATAAATAACCCTGGATAATCAGGAGAGTGAGCATTTGGTATAAACGTACTGTTGATGCATGTTCGAAATTAGGAACGAGAGATTGCATACAAGTGAGAGCATTAAAATGTGGAAATCTTTGAGCTCACCAAATGCATGCTGTAATTATTTATGCCTTTACTTTGTGCAAGGAGCTTCTCTGGAAAACCATAATTATTTAAAACAGACAACTAGAAATATATATTGTCCAACAGTAGCATTTCAGAAATTTGGCAACTCCAGTATTGGTCATCAGGAATGTCCAAACAGATACCGAAAGGTCAACTTGCAGATAAATGTGATTGTAAAGGTCGAGAATTCCAGTTGCCGAGGAATCCAACACATGATACTAATGGGTTAAATTCTAGAGTCCCAGATTTAATCCTCTTGCATCCTCTTTCCTTAGTGATGTACAGTGAGCCGGTAGATTTGTTATCCTATCCATGCTGATTAATACAAAATATGAAACATGGGGGTCGCCCTCCTCCAATATTACATTCAGGCAGCGCAGCATATGCGGCAAGGTGTCAGTGTGATTAATTCTGCTGCTGTATTTATAGAACAAATATTTGACTTTTTGAAATGAACCCAAATCATGTTTGTACAACAGATGCACTTTAAGCTGATAAAAAGTCTTCAAGGAATAGAATAACTGCATCTTCCCACTCCATAGGAAATTCTAAAACCAATAACTGTGTGTACGTAGACTCCATTTGATTTGAATAAAAAAAATTATGATTTCGATAGAAAGGTTAAACATTCCAAATATAATAAAGATAAAGTCTATATGGAATAGAAGGCAAGAAGGATTTTTATAGAGAAATTGGATGATAAATGTAGATTTATGTGAATTTTTTTTTCATGGAACGGTAGTTGCAGCCAGAGATAGCTAATTAACGAGCATGAATATAGCCTTGTGGATATTTTCTGTCCCCTAGTACTGATGTTAATTCAGGGATGATTTAGGCAGGGCAGACTAATGATGCCACTGAAGGGAGATGACTATCAAATTAATGCAAAGTGCTGCAATACATTTTTAAAGGAACACAATGTGCATTCCTGACACTATAGGTCTCAATAGATGTTTAGGCCCCTGGCAAACTTGATGGTCTCAGCCAATCCAATGCTTTCCCATAAGAAAGCTTTGGGAGGCTATAGCGCATGTACGGCAATAACATTAGCATCTCCTCATGACTCCTTGAATCAGTGCATCTCTATGGGGAAAGTTCAGTGTCACAATGCTAAGGGTGGAGACGTTGAACATGAGTGCTGCACATTGTGCACCACTGACCCAGGAAGCACCTCTAGTAGCTGCCACTGGAGGTGTTTCTCTGAAGAGGCAGTGTTTACAATAAAATGCCTGCAGGGAGAGGCAATAGACACCAGAAAAACTACATTGAGTTGTGGTTGTTCTAGTGAGTATAGTGTCCCTTTAAGAAGAAAACAGACAATGGCCTTGATTTAATATTTTCAGATAAAATAAATGATTGATTATCCTTATTGAGAATAGCAGGACCTCAAATGATCGCTACTTTGAATTTATAAAGCCAAAATCGCGAATCATGTGACGATGACGATTTATGGCAGCCATATCAGATCAGAGCTGCATGAAAATACAGTTATAGGGACCATGAAAATACTGGCAAAATTAAAAAAAGTTACACTAAGCACAAATGAACTTTGAAAAAAAACATATTATGAAGAAAGTTCCTTAACCCCTTAAGACTGCAGGGCGTTCTATGCCATCCCTATTTTGATGGCTCTAAACGCCGCAGGGCTTCATAGAACGCCGTGCGATCTTATGTAGTTACCCGGTCGCGGGCGATCCCACGCCGGCGATTGTGGTATGGGGACTCACCTGGGAGCCCAGGGAGTCCCCCTCCTTCCTCTTCAGCCCCCCTGGGCCATGTGATCGCGAGGTCCTTGCGAGGACCTTGCGATCACATGGAGGGCATAGCCGTCCAAGGCATTGTCAGCAGGGAGAGTGCCTGTAATGACAGGTACTCCCCCTGCTGTCTGGAAATAAAATAAAAACCATTAAAACAGTGTAAAATTAAATAATATATACTTAGATCATATATATATTTATTATATATATGATATAAGTATGATATAAGTATATATACACACATACACTGTCTAAGTGTATTTTAATATTAATATATACATAATTATATATATATATATAATAATTAAAAAATACACATACAATGATATTGATTAATTATATATTTAATTTCATTATATATAATAAAAAATAAATATATATGTAAATATATAAAAAAATAAAATTAAAAAAAAATTAAAAAAACAGATATATACATGTGTAATTTCTTCTCACTGTATTTTAAAATTAATATATATATATTGATATCAAAATACATGTAGAACGAAATAATATATATATCTATATACATAAGTATATACGTATATATCACTATATATATACCTATATAAATAAAAATAATTAAAAAAAAGTATATACATATATATATATATATATATATACACATATATATACACACGTATATATATAATTAATTAGGTCATTTTATTAATTACAATTTGCAGGACCTGCCTGACAACCCAGACCGAAAGTTCAGGGAATTTAATTTACAAGCACTATATTTAACCCTGTAACTTTCCAAGACACTATAAAACCTGTACATAGGGGGTACTGTTTTACTCGGAAGACTTCGCTGAACACAAATATTAGTGTTTCAAAACAGTAAAATGTATTACAATGACGATATTGTTAGTGACAGTGACATTTTTTGCATTTTTCACACAGAAATGGCACTTACACTGACGATATAATTGTTGTAATATATTTTACTGTTTTGAAACACTAATATTTGTGTTTAGCGAAGTCTCCCGAGTATAACTGTACCCCTCATGTACAGGTTCTATGGTGTTTTCAAAAGTTACAGAGTCAAATATAAGGCTTGCGTTTCAGTTTTTTCACATAAAAATTTGCCAGGTTGGTTATGTTGCCTTTGAGACTGTACAGTAGCCCAGGAATGAAAATTACCATTTGCAATATTAGACATCCCAGGGTATTGCAAATGGGGTATGTTCAGTCTTTTTTAGTAGCCACTTTGTCACAAACACTGGCCAAAATTGGCGTTCAAATTAGTTTTTTGCATTTTCAAATATTAACACTAACTTTGGCCAGTATTTGTGACCAAGTGGCTACTAAAAAAGACTGGACATACCCCATTTGGAATACCTTGGGTTGTCTACTTTTGCAAATGGTACGTCATCATGGGGCTAATTCTTATTCCTGGGCTACCATATGGTCTCAAAGGCAACATAACCAACCAGGCGAATTTCAATGTGAAAAAAATGAAAAATGTAACATGCTATATTTGACCGTGTAACTTCCAAAACACCTTAAACCTGTACATAGGGGGTACTGTTTTACACGTGAGACATCGCTGAATACAAATATGTGTATTTTATTGCAGTAAAAGCAAACGGTATTTTGACATTCACAGTTAAAATGTCACATAGAACTAAGAAATTTTTTTTAAAAATCTTATTTTCTCCCATTTTTAAAATATTTTATTCATATTAAATTATGTTCCATACCTAAATATTTGATATTAAATGAAAGCCCTGTTTCCCCTGAATAAAATTATATATAATAAGGGTGGGTGCATTTAATATGAAAGAGGTGAATTACGGTTGGACAGACATATAGCGCAAATGCCGGGTTTTGTTTACGTTTTGCTTTGATCACAACTTGTACATTTGGCTGCGGTCTTAAGGGGTTAATATATTAAGAAAGGAGGGGCTAAGTAACATTTAGTAAATATGGAAATTGAAAACTATTACAAATATTTATTAAAATATAATGGGGGGGCGGAGCCTGGCACTGTAACGGAACAGACGCCATATCGGAAAGCTCAGAAAATCAAAATACCAATCATCCGAAAAACGACCGTAAAACACCAAATGCCCTTCCGTTACACCCCGTGGCAGGCAAAGTCGAG